GGAGGGGCCACGGTAAAGGGGGGGCCATAGAGGGGAGGGGGCCAAGGTAAAGGGGGGGCCATAGAGGGGAGGGGGCCAAGGTAAAGGGTGGGCCATAGAGGGGAGGGGGCCAAGGTAAGGGGGGATTCACAGAAGGGAGGGGCCACGGTAAAGGGGGGCCATAGAGGGGAGGGGGCCAAGATAAAGGGGGGCCCACAGAGTTGGGGCTGAGGTATGGGGCGGCGTGCTAAATGCGGGGGATCCTAGAGGGGCGGGGGAGGGAAGGTAAACGGGGTCGTCCCTAGAAGGGAGGAGGGGTCTGATGGGGGGGGTACCCTAACGCGAAGGGAGCTGAAGGAGGCGACTGAGATGTGAATGGGGTGAATGGGGTGAATGGGGGCCCCCCCAGGGGTAGGGGGCGGATGGGGGTGCGTCCCTAGAAGGGAGGGGGCGTGGTAAAGAAGGACGGGGGGGGGGCAGGAGGTCGGGTCTGGGGGCGTGGCAAGGGGCGCCCCTGGAGGGCCGGGGTCCTCACCTGGAAGTGCTCCTGGAAGCGGATGGGCAGTATCTGCGCCATGGCCGGGCCGGGTCTGGGGTCGGGCCAGGCCGGGACCCCTCCTCCTCCTCGTCCCTCTGGCTCTCGCCTCCCTCCTCCCTCAGAGGCGCGCGCACGCGCTCGGCTCGTGCCCGCTCCCCGCCCCCCCCCGCGGGGCGCACGCGCACTGTGCCATTCTCGTCCCTTGCGCCCCCTCCGCCGGATCCCTCCGCCCCGGCCGGGCGCCCAGTAGCAGGGTCTCGAGAGAAGTAGTTCACGCCGCCCCTTCCCCCACGCGTGCCCCGTGGGCCCAGACGGGATGGGTGAAGTAAGGGGGGGTTGAGGGAGGGGTCGGCCCTAGTCTGGGGTCACAGGCCGCCCCCCGCCCCGGCTATGCTAACACTCCGCCGGGTCACGTGACGTCCTCTCCCCGCGCGGCCCCTGGGGGGAGGGGGAAGGGACCGTGATATCCCTCGGGCAGAAGCGCATCCCCGGGCCGGCAGAAGCGCGCCCCCGACGCCTCCTCAAAGCCAGTCACCTGCCCTAGGCTCTAGGTGAGGGCCCTGCACAGGAGGGGAAACTGAGTCACCTGCCGGGGGCGGCCCGAGCCCTAGGATTGTAAATTGTCCGGCGCCTTCCTTCTGTCCTTGGAGAGAGGAGGCAACTGAGGCTCGGAGGAGGGGCCGGTCAACCCCAAGCACCCCCCGGAGGGGGGCCGGGGATGGCAGCCCAGGGTCCCAAGGGCCGACCCCGAGCACGGGGGTGGGGAAGCTGCAGCCTGGGCAGGGAGCGAGCTCCCCATCCCCAGAGGCATCCAAGCCAAAGCCAGACCGAGCCTGTGTCAGGAAAGGCTTGGACTCCATGTGCCCTTTTATCCAGCGCTGGAGGTGGAGGGGTAAACTGAGTCACCCAGGGACTCCAGCCGCATCATTGAGTGCATCCACATTCCACACGCCAAGTACCGAGCATGCTTGGTGTCGGGACACAAAGACCAGGATGCCCATGCTGGGGGGGGGGGGGTTACGTGGGCAGGGGGCACAACACGACCCCAGGTAACTGAGCAACAGGCGGTTTGAGGAGGCAGGAGCTGCCACTGTGCCAGGGGATTCCACGGAGAGGACCGGACAGCCTGGAGAGGCTCTCAGGTCCAAGCATTAGAGGCAAAGGGGGCTGAGGCTTCTTGCAGAAGATGGGATTTTAGCAGGGTGTGAAGGGAGCCAGGAGGTGGAGATGAGGAGGGAGGGTCTTCAGGAGGGAGGGACCGCCTGGAGCAAATGCCTGGAGTCTGGAGCCAGAGGAACCGGAGGGAGGGCAGTGCCACTGGGTCACAGAGTACAAGGGGGGAAGGGAGGAGGCGGCTGGAAGGTAGGAATGGAAACCAAACAGACGCTGAAGGTAATAGAGTTGGGGGTGAGGGGTGGTGCAGGAGAATGACTACGGTCATTCAGTGGTGTCCAGTTCTTCCTGACCCCGTGGACCACGGCACGGCAGGTCCTTCTGTTCTCCAGTGTCTCTCCAGGGCGGGGAGGTGACTTGAGAAGCTCTGTTGTGGTGGTGAGGTGGTAAGTCTGTTGAGGGCAGGGTGGATTGTGACAGGTGCCTGCTGTTGCCGTCGTCCAGGCCTGAGACCGTGAGGGTCTGCGCTAGATGGAGTGGTGGCAGTACCAGAGAAGAGATCTATTGTAAAGGTCCAGCCGCTGGCACTCCGCGGCTGATTGGAGATGGGGGTGAGAGGAGAATGAGGCGTCAAGGGTGACACCTCAATTGGAGATCTGCGTGACTGGGGGAATAGTGGTCCCTTCAAGGTACCAGGGACGTGTTGGGTTGGTGGTTTGCAGGAGGCAAAGCCATTCCCAAGGCTCTTGGGCTCAGGGACCTGGTCTGTCTCCACTGAGGTCTGAGGGGAGGTGGGGGTCAAGGTGGAGATGGTTTAACCAGCCAGGTACTTGCCTCTTGTCTCTCCCTCCATGCCTCAATGCTTCAATGATCTGCGTAGATAGGATAATTGAACCCATGGAAGCTCATCCATGAAGATATTATTGTAGTGTAGAGGGAGAAGAGAAGAGGGCCCAGGATAGAGAGAGCTTTGGAGGACACCCAGAGTTAAGTGGGCAGCACCTAAGTGACAAATCAGCAAAGCACAATGAGACAGGGCAGGGAGACAGGTAGGAGGAGGAGAGCGGGGAGAGGCAGTGTCATGGAAACCTAGGGAGGAGAGAGAGTCACAGAGGAGAGGCTGATTGACCTGGTCAGAGGCTGCGGAGAGGCCAAGAAGAATGAGGACTGAGAAAAGGCCATCGGGTTTAGCGACCACGAGTCCTCGGTGACTTTGGGGAGAATATTTCAGCCGAATGACAAAGGAGACGCCAGGCTGTAGACGGCTTGGGATGATGAGAGGAAGCTCAGGCACTCATTGTAGTGGCTTTCTCAAGGTGTTTACCTGGTATAGAAGGTGAGACGTGGGATGATAACTAGGAGGGAAGATGTTGAGTGGGCATCTCTGCTAGAGAAGATGGGATGGAATGAGGTGTGCATGGAGAAAGGGTTTGCCTTGCTTCATCATGGGAGGCAGGGGTGAAGGAGGAAGCAGTGGTAGAAGGCACCTGAGTGATGTAGAATGAGGGAGAGGAGAGAGCTCCAGGCCAAAGGCCTCAGCCACTTAGATCGAGCATGAGGCAAAGTCCTCAGCTAAGAAGCTCGGGAGGAGGAATGGAAAGGTGTGGAGTGGCCGCCGTGGCAGAGGATTGCCTTGCTCAAGTGAGGGCCCAGCCGAGATGCCGTAAGCTCAGTCTGAAGTGGGCGCGGTGCACGTGGGTCTGCTCTCCCTGCTCCACTCGTGCTTCTCTGGTCTTCTGCCGACCCAAGGCTTTCTCACCCCAGAGCCAGCCCCTTCCTCCCATTGCCAGCTTCTTAGGCGGAAGAAAGCACCCCGGGCCAGCCTGAGCTCACTTCTTTGCTGGCTCTTCCCCGAAATCTCTGGACTCTTCTACCTCCTCTCCCCTCCCCCCAGCCCTCACTTGGCAACATCCCTTTTACAGGTTGTCTTCCTTAGACTTATAAACTCATTGAAGGTAGAGACTTTCCTTTTGTTTGCATGTGAATTCCCAATGCTCAGCACCCCAGGTGACGGATTTCATGCTTAGTCAGCTCCATTCAGGGGCACAGGGAACAGGAATAGAGAACAGATGATAGGAGTGATACATAGTTGGGACTTGGCATAGCATGGCATTTTTGTGCTCCTGGACTGGGGGCAGGGGGCTTGCGGGCAGTCAGGAGTTGAACGGATTCCCCAAGGGGTCAGGCTAGGGGACACAAGATACAGCCAGTGCTGCAGTGATGGCCTGGGAAAGAACTGAGGGGCTGGGGCGATTAGAGGTCACAGTGAGGATGAAGAACAGGGTTAGGGGTCATAAGGAAGAGGGCAGATTATGATCAGATAAAGGAATTTCCGAGTTCATCAACGTGCACGTGGAGCATGTGGGTAATGGAAATATCAGGGGTGCGACCAGTTCTGTATGTAGCTGAGGAGGTCATGGGAAGTTAGGGTGCTTAAGGGAGCGTCAGTGTGTGTTGAAGTCCCCTAGTGAGAAAGCATGCGTTAAGGCTGGGGAACTGGGCACGGAGCTCAGGAAGAAAGGAGAATGCTTGAGTGTCTAGATACCAGCATCTTGACTGGGCCATAAATCTGGATCGAGCGAATCTCGAAAGAGGATTCTGAGTAGTGGGGCTCGAGGGAGTCTGCCCTCAGCCTGAACCCCGGTAAGAAAGTTGGATGAGAAGGTAAACTGAGTCAATTTATTCAACAACGAATATATTAAAGTCTGTGCAGAGCATTGTATGACACCCTAGGGAGGGAAGAAAGGTTAGCTAAAATGGTCTTTGACCTCAGGGGAGAGGCGGGCTACAAACACCCAGCTGTCATACACCACTTTACTTGATGAGGGCATTAGGTTGTGTGTTCAGCTTTCTCCTTCGGGAGAGGATGGGAAATAGAGGAAGACCTAAAGTGACTGGAACCAAGGCCTGCCCTAAATGAAGGATTTGAGAAAGGAGGGAGAGGAAACTGAGCCCCGGAGCGCTGGCCAGCCTGCTCCCCAAGGGATGGGTGGGCGTCAGGTGGAGAGCAGTGGGTGTGACAGGCGGGGCATTTGGACCTAGCAAAGTCAGGACTGTTGGCAGCCAGGCCTTCTTCCCTTCCACAAATCTCCTTGCTTGCGGTCCAAGAGTACAGAAATTTCATTAAGTGAAGCAGCGTATTGCTTAGAACTTCTAAGCTTTGGGAATAGGTCACAGACGTGGTTTTGCTGAAAAGCCAAGACTCATGCCTTTAAAACCATCTTGGCAGGTCTTTTTGACAAGAGCAGAGGATCATTCCCAACCTCCCAAGCAGCTGCCCTTTGAGCCAAAGCCAGAGCCTGTGGCCGGTCTCTTACCTCAGACAAGGTGATCAGATAGAAACAAAAAAAGCCTTGCTTGGCTCTCCCTGGCCCTGGGGTCTGGACAGGTCCAGAAACAAGTTCAAATCTGGCTGGTCCAGATGCTAGTTCCGTTGGCCAAGGGGCCTGACGGTTTCAGAGCCAAACACTGCTGAGGAACTGGGCTGTTCAGACACTTGGGAATGAAGCCTCTTTAGTAAGAACAAAGCTGTACTGTTGTCTGGAACCCTGGCCCTGGAGTTGTATTCACTCCTGAATTCGCTTCCTTGATGAGGGCTGGTTTCGGCCTCTCCTGCTGGCCTTGCCCGGTAGCCAGACCTAGCTGACCTGGATTCCCCAATTTTGGCAGTAGTAGTGCTGACCCACAGGCCTCCTCCCCCAACATTACATAAATCCATCAGTATTAATAGGATGAGCCCCTAAATCTCTTTCCCAGTGTTTACATATTTCTAGATTCCAAGACAAGAAAACTGAAAACTCAACTCACTGGAGGAAAGGGAATTTTATTTTTATGTTTAAGCAAAATAACAAAATTGGCAGGAAGTCAGGCCCTCACCCGGTGAAATAAGAGAATAATAAGTTATCCTTGTGAAGGAACAGTATGTTCCCCAGATCAGGCCATGGATGGGAAATAGGAATTCTTGGGTTCTGCTCCTGGGTGGGTCAC